AAGGGTGCTACCATATTCATTCCCATCGTCTATTATAACTTTGCAACTCGATATCCTCGATCGAATAGCATATGTAATATAATTACACGCCAAGTTCTTGGATTTGTTAAGAAGTTCAAACGGTCTTAAACTATTTCTGTTCGACAGACCGAGGGCAAGATCCTTTCAGAGGATCGTACATCTTCTCAAAATATAATAGTTCAGCTTGCGTGTCCATCGGTCCACTCTTGGGGGGGATGAATCGAACGTGAATCGAACCTTGCGGCTGGCAGTATGTATTTCGCAAGAACGTCCGTTCGAGCTATTTTGCAGCGCGCGAGTCTTGCAGCGAGCCTGGTCAGTTCTTGATGTATGAGAGTTCGCGAATAGGGGGTTGGGCATCCTATTGTTCGAACGGTTAGTCCAACTGACAGAGACTGGAGGAGCCACGACAGGTGTCAGTGGCCCCGTGCACGCGCCACTGCAGATACAAGGGTCATGCGGTGGTTGTTTTGACGCGGCTATCTGTCAAACAATCGTGGTTCGCCGTAGTTCTGTCACACGGTTCACGGAGGGGATCCTCCGGTCCCGCGGTGGATGATTAACCACGCTTAACCACGTACTATAACGCGGTTTACGATTAATCACCGCTGCCACCGTCGCCATTTGTTTTCGACTCGCGACGATCCGCTCTCCTAATATCTGCGACTAGCTCTGACAGTTGTCGAATGAAGAGCCACACGCTCTGTTTCTGCTCAAGGAAACTAACGTAACCGAGTTGGACCGATGTCGATTCGGATTGTCGTAGCCGGATTTCTAAATTTATTTTTTTATAAATAAATTAATATTATTTTTTTTTTTTTTGCTTTTTAGTTTCAACTCGGAGGCGGCCTAGTTAGTTGTTTTTACTAATATCGAAAATACGTTGCGCGTATTATCTCGTTCACCATGTCTCCGTTTTTAATTAGATTTTTCTCTAGCTATTCAATTTACACGTACATTGAACATACTTCAAATTGAATTCTACAACTTTCGGCGTTAACGAGAGTTCGAATATATTTAACTAACGTCCAACTAGCAACGTTACGCGACGCATACGTTTAGTTTTCCTTCTTTTTGATTTTACGACGATCTTTTTTCCGCGTAATCGACGCTTTGTCGATCCTCGTATCTCTCGATCGGCGGTAAAAGTTTCACGAGAAGCGTGGCTCTCTCGCGCGTTTGCTTGGTCGCAGTTTACTTTCAACGTTGCATCAAACTTTTCGTGCTCGTGGAGAAACCTATTTTCAGCGTGTTTTTTTTTTATTTTTTTGACAACAAAGCGAAAGCACCGATCAAAATATGTTTCGGCAACTTTTCCGGGACGAAATGCAAAGAAGAAAATCATCTCTCGCGCGAAGTTTTCTCACATTTTTCCCCGTTTCTTCGAACAATTTCGAGTTACTGCGATTAACAACTTTGTTTCTCCTTCACGGTGCATTTTTCGCTCTCGAAGCTGCGATCGCAGTGTAATTAGAAAACGGATTGCATTTAAACGCGAGGTTCCATTCGCACTGCACGATTTGCCGAGGATAGGTAACACGAGAGTACAATGCCAGTTTGTCAGTGAAAGGATCGTCTAAGCTAGGCAATTCATCATATTTGTCGTGAATACACTGCGCCGATTTTCCACAGTCTGTTGCGAATTTGGCAGAGCTTTAGACCAAGTCACGATCTTGGAAAGATTTTCTGTCGAGACTGAATTTTGTCGAAAGGAAGACAAAAGGGAAAGGATCAAATAACGAAGCATAAATTTTTTTAACTACACCTGTCTCCCCTTTTTACGCGTAACGCCAGAAAACACATTGTAGACATTGATCCAAACGTACAACGAGCTTTAAAATTTCAACGAGATTTAAAGAAATGTTCCACCGAATGTCGGAAGATTTATGAAAACTTGGCAAAATATAAGTTTGAGAACAAATCGTCCGACAAAACTTGACATTAACAATGAAAATGAAGTGGAACTTGCAAATTTTTAATATTTCAAGCGACAAGGACAACTAGTTTGTGCCAATTAAACAGATAAAGTTAATCGTTTTGAATCGCCAGTAGTGACATTGAATAAAATTTACTTTTTTTCTGAAATGTCATCATGATTATTTTCTTTTTTGTTAACATATGTGGACTCTATTTACGCGATTATTCACTCGCGTAAAACGAATCCACGTGGAACAGATACTCCGCGTAAGTAATGGGCGCACTTGATATCGTTTAACTGGCCGAATATTCCACGAATAAATTACATTCTTGGATATCGGAACATCTGTCGACGAATTTCCTTAATTTTTTTGCCAAAAGCCACCCACTGATCGTCGAAAGTCTAAAGAGGTGTGGCGCAAACGTTTCTCGTTAAAAGTCCAGGCCAGGTCACCCTTTAACCTGGCCGACACGAAAGAACTGGCTGGAGGTATTCTTATCGAGACAACCTATCTAATTATCGCGTCAGGAAACGAGTCAGAGCGGAGCGAAGCGTGGTCGAGCGTCGGCGGTCGGTGTTCTCTCGCGGGAGATCAATACCCGTGTCCCGTGCGCGTTATTAAATCGTGAACATTACGAGCTGACGTTACAGGCGTGACAAGTCAGTGCATCGCTCGGATTTCCGTGCGCACGTGCACGCGGAGAAATACGACCGCTCGAAATTACTAGTCGATACGGATCGCCGCGGCGTTGAGCCAAGTACCCTCATTCTCGAACTTATCGTGTTTACCCGTTCCTTTCTTCTGGCCAAATGTTTTCTAGGGTACGCTGTATTATTTAGAAGAAGAAGAAAAAAAAAACGAATGAAAATTATAAAACTCTCTTACATGTACACTTGCATATTGGTTAGATTCCATTCCAACAACTTCTTGACCGATCTTGGAACGTTCACTCGTTGCGAATTTTTTTTTTTTTTAAATCAGCCGGTGTGTCGCGTCGAGTCGAGCCGTATCTCGCTTTCATCCTCTCTCGCTCTCATTTTATCGATTCTGAATTCTGGCAAGTATTTTCCCACGTCGCTCGTATTTCTTCGAATAACAGATAGCATTTTGTACACGTTCTTCCCCCCTCCCCTCCTCATACCATCCTTGATCTTGCTCGTATTCTTTACTATCGAGCCACCGTAAAAGAACCATGTTTCGTTTTGCCTTCCATTGGATAACATTCCTGGGCGGACCGGGGAGCTTGCGACTTGCAACTGCGACGGGAGAGATAACCGGAGAGAGGCAAGAAAGCGAAAGAGAAAGAGAGAGAGAGAGAGAAACGTCGAGGACGCGGATCGATTCAACGAACGGAGGAGAGCGAAAAGTCACTCGCGACACACTCGGGATCGTTTCTCGTGGTTACGAAGTAGCTCGGAAGCCGAGGCAGACAGGGTCCGTGTTGATCGGTCTCTCTCTCTCTCTCTCTCTCTCTTCTTCCCGAGATCGCTCGTTTCGTTTTGCGAAGATCCTACACACCTACACCTCCGCCCTTGGATTCCTTTTTTTCCCTTCGGATCAAACCACCACCGCCGACAGACCAGAATCTCGAGAGCGTGCGCGATGTATTCGCTGGGGAAAAAGTGTTATTGCTTTCGGTGGCCTACATACGGAGAGGTATGTCCCTTTCGGAAGTGTCCGACTTCAATTTCCAGCACAGTCGAGTGGTGCCAGTCGACTTCCAGCGACGAGTCGCCTCTCTCTCTCTCTCTCTCTCTCTCTCTCTCTCTCTCTCTTCGTCGTGTTTCTCGCGAGTTCTCACGTCTCTATTTCCCAGAGAATTTGCATCAAGGTTTTTCATCATTTTTGCTCTTTCTCTTTCTCTCTCTCTCTCTCTCTCTCGTTGCCGTCTCTCGAGAGAAACTAACAGAAATGAAATTAACAGTGAATTTGGCGTCCTATTCAAACGCGCCTAAATACGATATGGCGCGCTTCTGGCTGAATCGTGAGCGTCTCGCGTTTCGCGTTGGCGAAACGAAACTTACAACCGGGGCCGTAATCAGCCTCGCGCGATAAATTTAGACTGTATTTTTAAGCAGAGTGCCATTTCAGCCATTTCCGCGCGTTCTCTTCAAATTTTTACAAATTTCGACACGAACGGGAATTATTTCGCGATGAATGTTTTTCGTTTTGTTTTGTTTTTTTTCTTTCAGCCTCGGTCGGAGAGTGTCAAATATTTTCTTAAATCCATCGTGGCCTGGCCGCCACGTTTGATTTCCGTTGTGCAAACGTTCAATTCCGGGGGATGTTCGATATTATACGTTGCCGTTATCGCGCTAGTAAAATTCCGCCCGGCGCAACGGATTAGCCCTCGTAAAACTTTTGGCCCTCGTGCGACGTACGAGAAGCGAGCGAAAACTTCATTTTTCTGGGCGAGTTGAGCGCCAGGCGCGTCTCTGCACGAGGGTGTGCTCCGTTCGAGTGCTGCACGCGCTCGTGCATCGTGTAAAAGTGAAAAGTTCCGCGCGCGAAAACTCGCGGCGGAATGTTTATTTTATTGGGAAGTTCCCCGGCGACTTTCAACCGTTTCAACAGTTATGAGCGGGAATCACGAAGTTCGAAAGTTGAAATTGAAATAAAGTGGAGGAGGGAACCGTGGAGGGTTTTCTAGCCACGAGCCTAAGTTTCCTTTCGGGGTAACGGATACGTTTACCGGGGACGGAACGTCGCCGGCTTGGTTTGTTATTCATGTTGGAAATTATCAGTCGCGAGACGCGCCTGTAGTAAACGCGACACGATCGCGCGCGTCTGTGAAAGGATTCGTAAAATTGAATTGGCCAAATCGGATTCGGAGCTTATCGCGATATAACGCGATTAAATTGCGGGAAATACGGTCTGTGGCGTCTGTGGGGATATGAAGCCATCCTGTTTGAATTCGTCGTTCGTTGATCGCGGTTGTCGCCGACCAACTGATTGAAAAAAATATCACGATGTGCGAGTTTCATCATATAGAGATTTACATCTGTTGTAATTGAGCATCTATCGATCTTTTCTAACGAGACCAACTAATTCTGCTTGCAGGTATAGACGCTCGATTTGCCATTGTCGTCCGCTGGCGGAAATAAGCTGACGAATACTCACTTCTCGACCTTTCGTAAGTTGAAATTTACAAACTTGAAAATTCAGTTTTATTTCCGCTTGATTAAGAGACACGGCCACATCGATTACATCACGCGAAGCGCAGTTTAAAGAGATTTGGAAAATCCGGGAAGGGACGTTCCGAGAGCATCGTGCAAAGCCAGAGAGAGAGAGAGAGAGAGAGAGAGAGAGAGAGAGAAGTCCAGGGACTGCAGCGAGGGGTGAAACGGAAGGAACGATAGAGGAACGGTGGCCGAATTAAGTACGTTGGATTAAGCGACGCCGCAATCGCGCGTGTTAACGACATCTTACTATGTATCGGGGTGGCTTGATCGCTACCCGGTGAAAAATGATGCCATTTACGGACACGATTCGGCTCAGCTCGACAGGGATAAGTCCCGAACCGATACGTAAACTCGCTGAAACTCTGCTTCGGGGGTCATTCGTTCGCCTGCCGGACCACAAATTGAGCGGTTTGTTTCGTCCGGGTTCCTGCTGCCTCCTCCCATCTCTCAGCAGCCGCTTCGTGAAAAACCGCGAGGGGCTCGTGAGCCTCGGCAACGAGTTGCTGATGTTCGCGATTTGTCAGCTCCGAGAAGAAATTCCCTTGGACAGTCCGTAAGTCTTTCGCGAGAATTTCCTGATTACACTGGCAACTTTTGAGCCGGGAACTGGCACGGGGATCTCTCTCAGCCAAGTTTCCTCTGTATCGGATCACTGTCCGGGGGAGAAAGATTACGCTCAGTTTTGATTCGGTTTTCATTCGATTTGCAGATCTCTCTCTCTCTCTCTCTCTCTCGTCGTATCGAACCGATAAAATTTTCGCATCCGAGAGGAGAACGCTTTTGGCTCGTCCGTGTAAATTCTTAAAATTATATAAATCTGCTTCGATCCTCGTTACGTCGGTCGATTTTCATAATCGCTTGCTAAAAAAACTGATTCGGTTCCGATTCGATTTGCACGAACCTCGAGCGTTTACCCTCGGTCGTTAATTCCTTTGGTCGGCCCGGTTTGAAAAGTCGAGGACCAATTGCAACTCCGATCGCAGGAGGATCGGTGGCGGCCGTGGAACGAGTGGTAGATGTGAGGATTAAGTCGAGAGGGCAGCTCGTAAATCAGAAGCTCAGCCAGCTATGTCTGCGGCGCCGGAGATAATAACCATTTTGCGCTTCCATAGGCTCCGTTCCGCCCCCGTCGTTATAAGCGATCTTACGACAACGGGCCGAGAGGGGGTGAGGAGTGGAAAGAGAAGGGAGGACCCATTCAATTAACTTCGTAAAACGTAAATCGAGACGCTGCTTCTTCTTGACCCCGATCGTTTTCCTATCGTTCGTTCTCCTTTCCCCTTTATCTCGCCTTCTCTTAAATCTCCCCTACAATTTTTCGCTCTACATTGTTTCGTTATTGTTTGCACGCTCGACTTTTGAATTTCGCAATTGAAATCATTTGTAAGAAATCGATGATTTCTGGATCTGAAGAAATTGCAAATTTCTGCAAACTCGTGCTCTCCTACTGTTTCCCGTTATTTTACGCTGAAAGTTCACCGTGAAAATCCCACTTGCGCGTCTCTGCCACCAACGAGTCGTCTAGGCGCGGTTTCTGAACAATATCCGATTCTAACAGTGGTGAGATAGAGATTTATCGGTGGTGATGTAACGGCTGTTCGGTCCCATACCGCATCTTCGGTGCGATATTTGCAGGTAGAGAGAACCTCGAAAGGAATCGCGTAGCTGAGTAAGGGAAGGAATCACGGTTTGAATAGCAAACGAGAATCAGCTTCCGCGAACTCTGGCTAAGGTCACGTGTTTGGCGCGAGTTTGTCGAACTCTCGCGTTTCAGCGTGCTGAACACTCGTCCTGCGTCCTTTTCTCATTCTCTTCCACCGTGTTTCGCACGCTTGCGTACGTAGTGTCGTGACCAACGTAATCACCTTTTAATGTTTCAATTACGATGATCGTTCGGGACGAAAGCGACGTTTTAAGCGAGTTTAACAGATTTGACAGAACCAAGTTTAAAGCCAAGCCACGTCGCGTTTTATCGTTCTCGATAAACGCACGTTTCTCTGGCTTTCGTGGCTGAACCCCTCTACTGGGGAAGGTTTTCGCTTCTTTATAGGAATTCCCGATACACGCGTCACGTTTCGGTTGGAATCTGCATCGAGGGTCGTGGTATTTGAGGCCGCGCGGTTGCGCGATTCACGGTGAATATTCTTTCCGAAAGTACGGAAAGGACGTAATGCCGTCACGTATCGGGGAAACGGCGTGAAAGATCGGCCGTTCGTGTCTTTCATGAAACGCGAGTACGTTCGTACGTTCGTACGGCAGATCGATCGATAGCGATGGCGCGCGCGGGAGAGAAATGCATCCCACACATTTCGCAAAATCGATGAAAATCGTGAAGATGTCTTCAAAAGATCTTTCTAGGTTTGTCGCGCTAGATCAACCACTTTGCGGACCATAAGGAGTGACCGAACCGTATACAAGAATTCGGTCGCTTCCTTCTTGAACTCGTGGGTGTGATATCACTGGGTAGAAATTATTGACAAGTAATAAATTTATCAATTGTTTTGCCTGGGTTAAATATACTTAAATATACTTAAAACTATAGAGGAATATTGCTATTTTGGGACACAAAATTCTCGACGTGCGTGGCACGTCACTCCAGCGCAAGAGGTTAACCACTTGCGCTGGCAACTGATTGCGGACCATAACGAGTGACCGAACCGTATACAAGAACTCGGTCGCTTTCTTTTTGAACTCGTCGGTGTGATATCACTGGATAGAAATGATTGAAAAGTAACAAATTTATCATTTGTATATTTTGCCTGGGTTAAATATACTTAAATATACTTAAAACTATAGAGAATATTGCTATTTTGGGATACAAAATTCTCGACGTGCGTGGCACGTCATTCTAGCGCAAGAGGTTAACCACTTGCGCTGGCAACTGATTGCGGACCATAACGAGTGACCAGAACCGTATAATTCGGTTGCTTTCTTTTTAAACTCGTCGGTGTAATATCACTGGATCGAAATTATTGAGAATTAATAAATTTATTGTTCGTTTTGCCTATTTTGTTTCACTTGAATATACTTAAAACCGAGGAAATATTACAATTTTGGGACAAAAAATTCTCGACGTGCGTGGCACGTCATTCCAGCCGAAGAGGTTAAGGTTAATTTCAGTGGCACCGTGTGTGGAGTGCTGGTTCCTCCGGAGAGTATAGTGGCGAGATGGCGGTTCGACGGCGGTTCCTCTGGTTTGGGACGGTCGACCAGGACACGGGGTTACCATCGGAGAGGATCCACGACGGCATATCAAGCAGTTCCAGACACGGTCGAAGATTAATGCACGCTGGTCCCGATGGTCGGTTGCGGATCTAAGACGATTACATCGTGCTTAAGTTCAGGGGATCCGTCGACTGTGCCATCTTAATCACATTGGGCGGGTCACGTCGCCGGACCGTGCGCTATTCTAATTAGTTGATCCACCTTTGGCCTCGCGGCAGAAACACGCGTAGCCCGTGGAGCAGATGTTAACGCGAAACATGTACCAATTAGTGGGCGAAGCTCCTCCCGGTGAGCTTATACTCTGCTCGTTTGACGAATCGCGCATCCACCCGCAGACGCACGCAGATGCATGCGTTTTGATATCAGCCATTCGTCCTTCCTCCCCTTCCCCGTCCTGGCTGCGGTAGGTTACGTGCGTCGCCACTAATTAGGGGACGCGATCGGTTCACCTTATTACGGGGCGCATTATCGTGTAAGGGCCGTGATCTGTAATACTATTAGCATTAATTGGAATGGAGTAATTAACCTTTGGTGGGATGGGATGCCGTTCGGACAAGCAGATACGCCGCTTATATGCGGCTAATATGTGGTTTATGCGTGCAGGTTAGCTTCCTTTTGTCTCTCTTTTCACTCCCTCGCGAATGGTTGGAAACGCGATTCTTGGAAATCCTCGTTCACTTGTGAATCTTAGGTTCAGCGATCCCACGTTGATTTCGTTAAAAGCTTTAGTTGAGTAGTCAAGTAGTTGTTAACAGAACCACATTTGAAATCACAGTTGGTACAAGTTTCAATTTTTTTCTTTTTTCGTCAATGCTGTTTCGTTGAGACTGATAGAGACAAGAGTTGCCTCGTGGCTTCCGAGAAAAAAATGACGATTTGCAATTTCATTTGGAAATTAGGGATGTTAGTTGGCAAACGATATCTCATCATTTCGGGTGATAGACACGCTTACTAATTTCTGAGATGACTCGGATCAGTTCGACTTCATTCATTCCGATCGTTTCATTCCGGATTAATTCCAGCAAGTTCCAAGTTCAATGACTTTCCAATCAAAATCCACACGGCTGCCTACCTCATTTTCGACTCGTGCCGTCGCTTCTCTCAGAGCTTCGTATCCAACATCAGGGACGTGCATCCTGACTATCAAGCAGATTGCATATTACTTTATCGTGCGAAGGGATGACTGGAATACGTGTGAACTGAACTTGTTCGCGATATACGCATCTCCGATTAATCGAAAATACTCTGTGTCTCGCCACGATAGTTCCAAACGAGAATTTCTACGTTACTTCGATCGTTGCGACACTGTTCTACTTACTATAAATAATATCGTTCCGTCTATCAGGATTTCTCGTTCTCCCTCCATCAATCAATTTTTAACCATGCAAGAATTTGATTCAATCGTCCATCTCGCTGAAATTTGCCTCGAAGACAAGCGAAGACAAATGACTTCTTCCTTTCGAAATAGAAACATCGAGAGCGAGTCGTCTCGCATTTAATAATATTTGCAAAATATTTTTATCTCGCTTCTTTCTTCCGTTTTGATTTTATTGTACTTTGTTCGTTCGACCAGGAGACGCTTTTCTTTTCTCTCTCTCTCTCTCTCTCTCTCTCTCACGTGCAGTTGTTATTACGATTGTTTTTCGAGTTTCTCTCGTGGCGCGGGACAAGTCGCAACAGATGTAGCTAGAAATTGAACTCTGGCAAGATTCATTTACTCTTCGCC